GAGGAGCTGGTCCTCTCGGCGGCGGCTGGCAGCTGTGTGGACGCTGGTCGGGATGAGGAAGACGGGCAGGTGGAGTCTGGGCAGGGCCGGCAGGCCCTGCTGGACCAGGATGTTGACAAAGAGCAGAGCATCCTGCTGGGTGAGTTGCCCCCCTACTAGCACTCTCAACGTGACTGAGATGGGCTGGAAGAAAGGTGGGGGTCTGTGGGTGTTTTGCTTCCAAGGAAACGTGCCTGAGGTTGCTGGGCGTTGTCCTACAGAGCAGGTCGCTGCCTTTCAGGGATATATTTTGGCTGGCTTTGGCAGCAGGAGAACCCCACCCAAAAGGGGTCAGGATCCAGGCTGCCTTCTTCATTGTACAAGGAAGGCAGTTGGGGAGCATCGGGCAGTTCGTGGAAGGGTGGGTGTCTGCCCCAAGGCCCCAAAGCAATTTTGGCCGGTCAGACGGCAGCAGGAGCGCCTTGGCGGCCTGGGGGACTGGTGGGGGAGGCGAGCAGAAGGGCGAGAGGCGTGAGCTTGGTTGCTTCCCGAGGGTGTGGCCAGAGCTGCGTTTATCTGCCCCTCTTGTCTTCAGACACAGCCTGCAGGACGGTACGGTGGCTCTCGGCCAAGCTGGGCCCCACCACAGCCTGCCGGTACGTTGCCAGGAACCTCCTCCGGCTGCTGGCCTCCTGCTATCTTGGTAGGTTCCTCTGCCTGGGAGGAGGCGGCGATGGGGGCACGGCGGGAAAGGCCAGGCGCCTCCCTTCTGCCTCCTGGGGGCAACTGTCCTGCCCCCCCCCGCAGGTGCAAGCAGGCAGCAGTTCGTGGCTGGAGCCGAAGAGGGCGGTCCCCTGAGTGCTGGAAGCCTGGATCGGAGGCGGCCTGTGGAGGGCGACGTGGTGTCGGAGCCGGTGCTCGCTTGCCTGGTCCACCTCGCGCACCTGTACGGGGAGCCAGTCCTCACCTACCTCTACCTGCCCTACATCAGTTACCTGGTCAGTCTTCTGCCTTCCCCGGGCCTCCCCCCGAAAACCCAGGCAGGGCGTGCGGTAATGGGCACTTCTGTACGACTGCAGATTTTGTCAGTGGGAGAACCGTAACCCCCTTTCCTTTGGTTAAACGCTCCCACCCTGAGTTTGAAGCCTCCGGTGCCGGGAGAGGCCAAGATGCGGATGTGCATGTCTGTGGAGGGCTCCCTCACCGTAAGCCAAAGTACTGCAGGCTGCATGTCGATTGGCACCAGAAGGCTGCCCTTAGCCTGCAGGCTTTCTTTCCCCACGGCCTCCCTTCCTGCTGAAGGGATGAGGGAAGGGAGCTCCTGCAGACCAGGGGCCAAAGGCCCCGTGCTGTGCCCACACCTTCCGCCAAGGGCTGGGGGGCATTTTGTCAGCTGTGCTCTAAACTGGTGCCTTTTGCCTTTTCAAGGGAGGACTCGGCAGCTGCTCCCCCCCTACCTTCAAGTCCATCGTGCAGGTTCCCCTTTTTTTTTTTTGTCTTCCCGCCACCCGCAGAGGGTT